ATGAATTTAATATAGATGCAGCTCCACTGGAAGTCAGTGGTCAACACAACAATCCTTTTTTTTCTTGGTGGATTGTACTAAATAAAACAAACAATACGATAAATATACAGTATTGCTTGGCATTACCATAGGAATGTACAAAAGTTGAAGCAAAACCATTGTCAATTTTAAAAAGTATTGTTACCTTTCCCAATCATAAACAACTTTTTCTGTGCTCCCGCTCATCCTGGTTTAATTTTGTTACTAAGTGCTTGACCTTTCCTACATCTGGTCTAAGCCCTGCAATCAGAACTAAGTTGCGCCCTTTCCCGCCTCTATCCAAAGAAAGTGTCTTGACACCCATTGATTAGAAATGTTCCATCACACTGCTCACCGATATCCCACTTAAAGTGACATTAAAGGCAAAAACTTTTTCCCTCCCCCCAATGTTAATTAAAGCACTTGCCCTAAATGATGTCTCTTAATCCGATCTTCTTCTCCTTTCCTGTGGTTTTCAGCCTTCTCTCCAGCGCTGCGGCGGGTCTCCAATCCAGCGCTGACTCCTCTGTGCTTGCTGGCACTTCCTGTCCCACGGTGTCTGCATGCAGGTGCACGCATCCATAGACTTACCTTGTGTCTCCCCTCGTCTACCAGCCGAAAAACCAAACTGCGCATGCGCCTGCCCCAAGATGCTTTGCGGCTGCCCGAGCATTTTCGGACGGGAGCGTCCGGCGAAGACACAGGTAAGTTTAAGCCGCTTTTAAAGCGTTTTTTACTTTTTACTTATATCTACTGCTCGCTAGCAGTAGATATATGTAAAAAAACGTGAGGGTTTAGAAACCCTTTAAGTTGCTTCAGTGGATGCTGCAATGACGAACAGATGGCGCCGTGTGGAACAAAGTAAGAAATCAGATCACCAGCGCACCAAGGTCCACCTTAACAATTCGTCTTTTATTGACATACGTTAAACATGATAACACAATGAAACGTAGTGTTCCAGAACCACATGTGGCGCCTTTATCAGGCAAACAGTGTGACACCACACAGTTAATGTTCACCAGGGATGCACCGATACCAGTTCAGATACTTGGCATTTTCATGAGAATTACCAGGGTTGCAGCGGTTGCAGCTGGGACCGGGCTCTGGCGCTCCACCACCGTCCTGAAATCATTAGTCTGTATTGTTTTAGAAAAACTGTCACATGACAATAAACAAAAATGTATCAGTACTCGTACTTTTACTTGAAAAAATTGTATCGGTGCATCCCCTTATATATATTTATAAAAACAAAATCATACATTAAAACAGAGATGTACAAATCCCAGGAGCTCCGTGTGTCCTTACAAATGACAGCGGCCTACTAACTTTTGAATTTTTCTCTAGTCTAGTCTTGGAGCTCAAAAAGTATCTGTACTTGTACTTGTACCGAGTACTGTACTTGGTATCCCTAATGTTCACAAAGTTAACACACCAGGATGGGGATCCTTCTTTTTTTTTTTAAACAAAAGGTGACAGCTATTTTAGGCATAGTCCAATGATATTTGAAAAGTATCAGTCACATGAGCTGAAATGAAGATTCTAATGCTTGTGTTAAAGCTGTGTGAATTAAGAATACTGTGCCCACTCTGCATTAGCGAACAGACTAGAAAAGAAGGGCAGACTGTCCCCCTCCTCTGCTGGTAGTTCAGTTGAAGGTATACACACCCAGAGAGAGGGTAACTAAAAATACATCATACACTCAGGGCCGGATTTACTCTCTCTGCTGCCCCAAGGCCAGGTTCCTCAATGCGCCCCGCTATGCATGTCCCGGGTGTCGGTAGATAGGAATTCCACACCCCTGCTGCCCCTCTACTTCCTGCTACCCCGAGGCCGGGCCTTGGTTGGCCTTGTGGGAAATCCGGGCCAGCATACACTATTATGGGAAGAAATATGTGCAAACTATGCCGGGAGAGCAATATTCAGTCTAAAACATTTTATTATACACAAGAATGAAAATCAAAACAGTCATCAATGGGTAGCTGTGCACTTCCCCAAGCAGTCCTACTACCCTAGCCCACGGCCTCTGCGAAAATCTGGACCTTCTGTCATTAACACTTCAGGGCAAATGTCGAGTGTATCTGTAAATCCACAATAAGTGCAGATTTAACAGAGTTATATTTAAAATGTACAAATAAAGCTTATCTCTCCATGGACAGACGTCATAAAATATACTATAGAAATGAGAATATACGTTTAAAGTGCAGCTTCCCGTCTCCAGATCTGAACTGTATGTTATTAAAATGTGGAAAGATGAAAATGTTCCGGAATAAACCAGCTGGGTGAAGATTAAAGCAACAACAGATTATTCCATCTTTTGGAACAATGGTATTTTTAGATGTAGTGCCGGGAACAGACAAAAAGTTCATATTTTTTTAAGGGCTGTTAAAATTGAAACTATTATTAAGTAATTAGCTGAAATTTGATGTTCCAAGGGTCACACATGTACAAAGGCATATATTTAAATATGGTTTTAGGGAATATTACGATATGTTGGGTTATAACAATCATTTAAAGGTTTATTTTTACTTTTTTTAATCTATCTATTCATCCCCATTCTCTGTGACTGTTTATGAATTTTGGTCTATTGTAATGAATAACATTTGTTAAGGATATCAGGATTTACTGAGTAATTCACTGACCTTTAAAATGCACTCACTTTGTGGCCTTGTACATTTATATGGTCATTGCACTACTCAGTGAATCCTAATATCCTTTTAATTTACAGTCCAGTGAATGTCATCCTAGATAAATACAAAAAGCAACAAACAGCACTCACAAACCATAATGTAACCAGAGCCTCCCCTGGTCCACCATGTAAAAGCCACTGAGTCAGTTAATATGATGGAAGGGGTGGATACACATTTTGTCAGGATATTGGGAAGTGATGGGCAAGCTTTATACAATCTGACTTTCAAGCAGTTTTTCAGATATATAGCTGCAGCCTGCCACCAGATTTGTATATAAATCATCCGGCACCTCCCAGTTGTTATTGTTTAATGACAGATCAGCGCCTCCGGGCCATTTGGGGAAGCTGATCTGTCATTACAACTGGGCGGAGACAGCCGTGAGATCATGGCTGGCCCCGCCCAGCTGTCATTTGCGGGGCGAACGGCCGGCTGAGCCGCTTGGCCGCCTTTGGCTGCTGTATGGGCTATTGTGAATAGCCCGTACAGCAGTCCTTCAGTTCGACTGAACCGAAGGGCTCCGGCAGCCAAAGAGAGCCGAAGGATCAGCCGTAGCTAAGGCCTGGATCCTTCGGCTCCTTTGTGAATAGCCCCCTAAGTGTGCTATTACTACAGAACCCATCTCTTCATTTCCATAACAGAGGGAGGTACTCTGCAGTTCAAAGAGGGTTGTAGCTCATCGGAGCCCAGCCAATCAAGTGGCCAAAGACTCAAAGCCCGGAAGAAGACTTGGAGGAAGATGTAAGCACTGGATAGGGGGAGCGCAGCACTGCAAGGGAACAGTTTGGCAGGTATGTCTGCCATAATGTGCTTATACGTGTAGCGGATCACAACTGCGGATATAGAGTTGTAGGGACTTAGGACATTTCTCCAGTTTGGCATAAAGACCATGGGCTCTGAGTCTGGAAAGTACCCAACGAACATGCTTTCGATGGTCGAGGAGAGTGTCCGAATATATGAGTATATCGTCCAGATATATTACCACGCAGACGTCCAGAATGTCTCTAAAGATGTTATTAATGAAACACTGGAATGTGGCCGGGGCGTTGCACAACTCCAAGGGCATGACCAGGTATTCAAACAATCCGTAGCGGGTCCGGAATGCAGTCTTCCACTCGTCGCCTGCCCGGATCCGAATGAGGTTGTAGGCCCCCTTTAGGTCGAGTTTGGTGTAAAATTTTGCAGTCTGAAGACGTTCTATGAGTTCCGGAATGAGGGGTAGTGGGTAGCGGTTTTTGATAGTAATGGCGTTCAGGGCACGGTAGTCAATGATGGGTCTGATACTGCCGTCTTTGTTGTGGACGAAGAACATTCCAGCTCCTGCAGGGGAGGTGGAGGAGCGGATAAATCCCTTTTTCAGGTTATCTTCGAGGTACCCCTTGAGGTGGTTCAATTCAGGTTGGGACAACTGATAAATCCTCCCTACGGGTATCCTACTGCCTGGGAGAAGATCGATGGGGCAGTCGTATGAGCGGTGGGGAGGCAGTATCTCTGCGTTGGTGGGGTTGAATACGTCTTGAAAGTCCCGGTAAGGCTCGGGTATCTTGTGCGTGTTAAGGAGCAGGATGTCCCTCGAGGGGTAGCAGGTGTTACGACAGTAGGAGGAGTTGAGTTGTACCCCGTTATCGGCCCATATGAGATCCGTTTGGTGCAGCCTCAGCCATGGGATGCCAAGTATGACAGGGAAGACCGGAGATGGGATTACATCGAAGTCCATGTATTCCCGGTGGTCATCGCTGGTGGTTACCAGTAAGGGTTGTGTTTGTAGGTTGATTGGACCCGATGTCAATGCGGATCCGTCTACGAAGCTGACGGACAAGGGTCTGAGTTTTCTACAGGTGGGAATGCTGTGTTGGGAGACCAAACGTACATCAATGAAATTCCCACATGCTCCGGAATCCAACAGGGCGTTAATCTGGATTCTTTTTTGTTCCCACTGCAAGGACAAGGAGAGATATAGGTAATTCGTAGACTTCAGGTGGGGCGAAGAAATTTTAGCAATGCGACTCGCCTTACCTGCGTTTTTCCTCCTTACGGAGGGACACTGCTCTACTAGGTGGGCGGGCGAGGCGCAATACATACAGAGATTCTGCAACCTTTGCCTGGATCTTTCCTCGGAGGATTTGGGTCCTCTGATGAACCCGATGTCCATGGGTTCTTCTGGAGGGGCTGAGGGCGCCTTTCGGGGCGTCCATGGTACCCCAGTGCTCTTTTCATGGCGACGTTCTCTCAGACGACGGTCAATAGAAATAGAGAGCTGCATAAGGGCATCTAGGGTCAACGGCAACACGTTTCGGGCTAGTTCATCTTTGAGCGTCTCGGAAAGCCCCAGACGGAATTGGTTCCTAAGGCTGATATCCGTTCCGTCTGGCGTGCCCATCGTTTGAACTCGGCAATGAAGTCTTCCACCGGGCGCTTCCCCTGGCGGATGTTCCTAATGGCGGTCTCCGCGGTTATTTGCTTACCCGGGTCCTCGTATAATTGGGACATTGCTGCAATGAACCCGTCGTATGACTCGAGTAGCGGGTCGTTGGTCTCCAGGTAAGTATTCGCCCAGGCCCTGGCCTCCCCCCTAAGGTAGGAAATCAAGGTACGTACCTTCACGTGATCGGTAGGGTATGACCTGGGCCTGAGTTCGAACATAAGGAGGAGGAAGTCGCTGTAGGTCTTTCGGTCTCCAGAGAAGGTATCGGGAGGGCTTACCTGGGGCTCAGGGGCTGGATGACTTTGAACCAGGTGGGCGGATGCCCCTTCTGGTGGTCTCAGTAACATCTTCTCCCGTAGGTCTCGGTTCTCATTACGGATTTCCGTCACGTTCAGCGTGAGATCCTCCATCCGTTGTGTGAGGTTAAGGATGCACTGAGCTAACTCCGCTGGATCCATTGTCTTTTTAGGTCTTCTGTACTGTCACGCTCGCCTGTATTGCGGAGGTCTGTGTAGCGGATCACAACTGCGGATATAGAGTTGTAGGGACTTAGGACGGGAATCAGGACGCAACTCTTTCTCACTTTACCCAGTTTTGGATGAGGCCGTGAGGGAGTTGCAACACATCATACCCCGTATACTGGATGGTATAATTGGGAGCAGTCTCCCTAGGCCTGCTATACCTCTGGTCGGACACCAGAGGGAGGCATCAGCTGTGAGTAGTAGGGCTAGACCACTGAGGGCAATTAGATACAAGCAACTGAGGTATTGTGAAAGTTTAGCAATACAGTTCTGGTAAGTATGGTTTGACAAGTTATCTTCTAATTAACTTCAGCAGATATAAGTAATAGCAAACACTGGTTCATTCTAGGTTGTAACGTTCCTTTTAGGAAACATGCAGTCCCAGAATACTTGCGGTTTTAGTTGGTCTCGGATGCTCCACGAGGAGCGGGTTGCAGGTCCTTGTGAGAGTCTCCAGGAGAGGATCAATGGTCAGGTTCTTTGGGAGGCGAGTGGGGAAGCTGTACTGATCAGCGTCCTGTACACTCGACAGAAGATGCTGATCCACTGACATGTAGCGGCTTTTAAGCCGAGTGCTGGACCTGGAGGGGGCGGAGCTTCGCGGCGCGCCTGCGCCCGACGAAGATGAGTCTCTGGGGAGAGAGGGAGGAAGCCGCCTGCGCAGGGTGTTGCTGGCCGGCGGCGGCGGACGTCACCCTCTGATGCTTGAGTCTCGGCCGCACAGACCCGCGGCGTGCCTGCGCCTGGAGTGCACGACCCGCGGTACCGGCTCCCACCGAGGTGCGTCTGTTACAATATGCTGTGCTTATATACCAGCACCTTATAGCTATAAGCTCCAGGGCCCTCCTTTAAAAAAACAAACAAATACATTACTTCTGTTTTAACAGAGCAACACTAATCAATTAAATGATGTTCATTGTTAGGGTTTACATACTCTTACAAAATATACATCCAGTGAACATTGGATGCTGGTTGTTTCCAAAACTCTGAGGGAGTCAGCTCTAGTCAATTAAGGGTAACGCTATTGTAACAAGCATGCTCTCTTAATGCTCTAAGTACACATAGACACAGCTACATTCTGCAGACAAAGCTTTGATCAGAAAAAATTCCAGGGCAGGCAGCAGAATGTGAACGGCTCCCACTGGGCACAGTGAAAAGCTAACACTGGTGTAAAGGAACCAGATAAGTAATACCTGCTATTCAGCCTTCCTTTATTATATCAAATTTGTCTAAGATGTGGAAGTATGGTAAACTATGCAACATGTTGTGAAAATATAATTACTTCCTTCATATGGTAATTTCCAGAAAAAGCATAGCCAGCTACCTATTCCCATAACTCTCCAGTATGATCTTCAGAGACCATTACCTTCTCAACACATTAGAAATAGTCACACCAAATGAACATGGAACATATGAGCCGCAAACAAATAACACTCATGTGGAAAGCCACACCACACAGTCCAGGAGCTACCCAATGTACCGGACATACACAATAGGTCAGCAGTCCAAGTGCAGGAGCAGTAGTGTATATTTCTGCTCCCAAGTACCACAAATTCTGGAAAGATGTGAGTAGGTTGGTATGGAGAAACTAAACGTTCTAGGAAGTTTTGAAGGGTCTGGCACACGTTGGTAAACCAACAAGCCTCTGCGTATTTCGTAAGGTAATTCAATATCATACAGAGGTCCTTATGATGCCCGTTTTGCCTCTATGTGAAATTGGATGGGGTACCTTAACCCACCACAAACATCTTAGCTATCTGTTTTGCCTCTAGTTATCGGGATATGTGTAGATTTGTAATTCTACAACATCAGGAGAAGTATAGCATGCCTAATTCTAATACCTATAACAGGTCTAGCTGTAGGTATACAGTTAGCCCAGGTTTCCAGGGGCAGTCCTGCATTTTACAAACCATTGACTGGTTTTGATTGGTTTCAAACTGTATATTATTATTATTACTTTTAAGGTGCGGCACGTCTGGTAAATTGTATCAGTATGTAAAGCAAATGCTTTGTTTATACAGTGTTAATTAAAGCCCTTCTAAGAAAGCTTTGATTTCCAAGGAATGGCAGAATGTTCCATGTTGCAGGCCCAAGTGTGGACAAACCAAATTAAAGTGTTAAAAATGTTTCTGAGGATTAAAGGATAACTGAAATGGAACAATAAGAATGCAAGAAAAATAATAGATAACACAGAATTGTCTTAGTATGGGGGATAGCTAAAAAATTAAGCGATATCTACTAGAAATAAACAGACTGATAGCCCTGCTTACTCTATTGAATGACGCTCTACTAAACTGCAAAGCTTCTATAGCATTCAGGTGGTAAAGATGAACTATTTAGAGAAGTACGATATCTTAAATCAGCCAATAATATCTCTAATGACCCAGAACCCCTGGTCAAAGGTATATGTTACGCTTCCAATAACTCTTTCCCATCAAAAGACACGGCCTTCCATAAATTGTCCATTTCTCCCTCCATTCCCCCCATTACTGCAGATTTCGGCTTCTCTTTCTCGCAGGCGGTATTGATCCCAGCTGCCTCGCTCTCTGCGGCTACAACTCCTGCAATAAAAAGCTAGTGGCAAGGTTCTAATGATTGAATTGATTGATTATGCCTGAACTGCAAGCGCAGAGCCTGGGTTTTTAGAGATTGATTGATTAGGCCTGTCATGAAGCTTGTTTTAGCTGCTGCTTACTTTCCTTGGTATACATTTTACTCAAGCCAGCTTTCTAGAGGATTCTTTGTTATTGAATGTAACCTGATCTGCATCTCGTTACACGGCCTGAGTATTCAATTTAATGTTGATCGTTGTGGCTTTAAATTAAAGAGTGTGGTCTATGATTTGTGTCAGTCATTGTCTAACAGGGTTATTCACTAAAGGGTGGAGGGTTTGGAGAAGTCAGGAGAAGAGAACAATCTAGGACAACATAGCTGATTTGGAAAAATTCTCCAATTCAGCTCATTATCCAGTACAGCTATGTTGTCCTAGATTGTTCACTTCTCCTTCCTTCTCCAAACTCTTCACCCTTTTATGAATAACGCTGTATATCTTTCTCAGTAGATACATGTCCTTCCCATACCCTCCCTTTCTCCTCAAGGTTCCCTATGTTTGTTGTGTGGTCTTCATATTTCCCAGTTACCCTATTTTACCTAATTTTATGGGGATAAACTCATTTTTCTACATGCAGGTCCTGCGTTTTTGCACCAGCCATACACAGGATCTTTTGGGTTTTTTTTTGGTTATTATAGTATGGCATATGCAATGCATTCACAATCACTATTGCTGGCAATACACTTGGTTGTTTTGCTGGCGATTTTAACGTTTTCAATCAGCATTCCATTACAGCTATTCTGCTACCCACAATTTCAACTATTTCCCAGTTTCAAGTGACCACATGGTCTACATTGGCATGAAAATCAATTGCAAAGGCCTTATCACTGCAACTGTAGTGACTTTGATACATTTTTGTGCCGAATTCAAACATTTTACAACTGGGAAACAAAAAAAACATCTCTGTAAAAAATAAGTCAAGGCAACTGGACTTGCTGTATTTTTTTTTTTTTTTTTTTAATTCTTAAGTTTTTTTTTTTGAGCCAACGTTTTACAATATGCAAACAACACATAAACAATTGAGCCATTAGAACGTACAGGTACATACTGTAAAAGGCTGTATTTTTCTTGAAGACGTTTCACTGGTCATCAAACCACTTGCCTTGACTTATTGTTTACAGATATACCATGACCTGGATGAATGAGATCCTTCACAGACAAAAAAACCATCGGTGACAAATTCCTATGATTGAAAACATTGGCCAGTGTATGCCCAACATAAATCTCATGTGTGTTCTCATTATGACTTCAACCTTCTGAAATGAGCAATCGCCTTTGTACGGTGCTGTTTTACAACTAGAGCCAAACACACTATTCAGTGTCAAATAATGAAAAGAAAAAGCTTGAATTGTGTTTTTGGCTGCATCCTTTGCATTAAATTATGATCCACATCAGATTGTGTCTAAGACTTCATAGATCTGCTTAGTGACATGAGGGCATTGGTTTATGCTTTGGTATCACGGTGCTGCATGTGCCATGGTGCAGCCTGTGTGTGATCTGAGTTAAAAGTAGGACCACCCAATTTACCAGAATCAATCAGTATATCAGCTGGGATCTAAAAGTTCTGAAGTTCAACATAAGGACTTCTGTAGTCACATTTTAAAACAAAACAATGGACCAGTTTTAGTTGATTTTAAAGTTTTCCTTCAATAAATGTCCAAAAAAATCTTGTTGGTCTCCTCATTGTGCTAGCGTATAACTTGGATATACCTACAGTTGGCACTTTGCAATCACATTAGGTGCTCACAGACGTGATATGATTTGTTTCTGATAAACACCTCACATACAGGTGAAACTCGAATAATTAGAATATCGTGCAAAGTTAATTTATTTCACTAATGCAACTTAAAAGGTGAAACTAATATATGAGATAAGACTCATTACATGCAAAGCAAGATAATTCAAGCCGTGATTTGTCATAATTGTGATGATTATGGCTTACAGCTCATGAAAACCCCAAGAACCCCAAATCCACAACCTCAAAAAAGTAGATTATTACATGCAATCAATAAAACAAGGATTGTACATAGAACAATATCGGACCTCTGAAAAGTACAAGCATGCATATGTACTCAGTACTTGGTTTGGGCCCCTTTTGCAGCACTTACTGCCATTACTTTTGCAAGATATTCTAATTATTCGAGTTTCACCTGTATAAAGACGAACCAAGGTGCAAAACATTCATGCATTTGCAGGAGAGCCGTGATATTTATCTTCCGTGTCTGACTTGGAGGCGGAAACCGGTACCGAGATATATGACTAAGACGCTAAGGTAATGGATGTTTTATCTGGAGGGGGTTTCATTACAAGGTGTTCACTGTCCTGT